GTCTGAGTTTGTTTCAAAGCACTTTTATCTGTAGAGACAGTTCACCAGCCCAGTATTCTTATTTTATTTCTAACTTGTAGATGCTTTCAGAGTGGCTTTATCCATCACAAGTTTTAGATTGTCTCTATCCTTTTCCCTAGTGTATTTGCAAGGTTAGAGTAGGAAGCTGTGTGATCTTATAATGAGATGTGTGAGACCACTATGTCCTAATAAATGTTAATTATTAACCTTAACCAAATAGTTACGTCTTGTAGTAGAAAGAAAATGAGATTTAGAGTGAAAATACTGGGTGGATTTCTAAATTTCAGAAAGTTGCCGTTCACATTTGTAAAATGCTGTTTGAAAAGACTTCGTGACATCTAGTAAAATATGCAAAAGCTTTGTAAATTCCAAAGCACTGTGCAGATGGAATGATTATTCAACCAGCAATTAAGTGCCTTTCATGTGCTAGAGTTTCAGATGAAGTCCATTTTGTCATCTCTTCTGGATTTAGCATTTTTTTAAATTCATAAGTTTATAAATTATGAAAAATTTAAATTATTTAATACTGTTATATAACAGCAAATAATATTCTTTTGATCTAATGTTTTTGGATTTAGAATAACTAGACCAGCTTTGTAACTAATACTATTTTGTTTCTGAAAAATTGACCTGTGAGCTGGATTGTGTAGGGAACACTTACCCAGCTGTGGGAATGCTGAGGCAGGAGGATTGTGAGATCCAGTTTCCAACATCTGTCAGTCAGTCAGCCAACCAGTGTAGTTTTTGAAGGTAGTTTTTGTAGTGCTTGAAGGTGAGTCAAGTAAAATAATTAGTAAAATTAAATTATTTAAAATGAGCATTTATTTACCAGATATCTTAGTTTTTCAAGTATACTGTTGTTTGGTGGCCTGGTATTCCCTGTATTCTTGAGGCTGCCCTTGGGCTGGTTGTAATTGTTCTGGATTATCTTCCCAAATTCTAGGCTTATAGGTTTTATTTCTTCATATATTGCAGTTAATGTGTTTGTTTGAAGATCAAGATGTTACTCCTCAGTGAATTGTGCAAAATTTAACATAAACTGAAGATTTTTCGCATTTTAAATATATTGACTTTTTAAAATGATTTTCAGCTTGTAGATTTACTATTTGAGGTAGAAGAGAACGTATAAGATACTATTATAGCATAGTAGAATGTTTCTCTCTTAAGACTTATCCTCAGTTGTTTTTCCTTCCAACTCTGATCTTATTCTTGCTCTCAGTGGTTATCATGAAAAGTCTGTTTCACTCAGAATCAACCTGACTTGTTTCTTATTTTAATGCAACTTTTTCACACTGATTTTTGTTTTGTTTAATAAAGTTGACATTATTTGGGACCTACTTACTTTAAAAATGTAGTAAAACCTTAGTCAAAGTATATTTATTGTAGTTATTGCACTTTTAACTTTTCTACTTCTTCCTTGCCTAGTACTTTTGTTTCTATTTTGATTGTTCTGTGTTTTTGAGACAGGGACTTGCTGTTCATGAACTCACTATGTAGCTGGTCTTGAACTCTTGGTCTTCCCTTAGTCTCCAGGTCCAACTCTCTAGTACTAATTCTGAGTATTTATATTAATAAAATAGCATATACTTTAAAAATAGTTTTGTTTGTTGAGACCAGGTCTCAATATATGTACCTGGACTAGGTTTGAATTCACTGTGTAGCCTAGGCTGGCCTCAAGTCTAGTTGATTCTTCCATGTCAGCCTCCTGAGCACTGGAAAGCTCAGTTCTAACATTTCAGCATGGGAACAATGACTTAATGCAGAGCAGACAAGCATAGGTCATTGTTTAAAGCAGGAATCTTAAGAAAAGAGCATACAAGATGTTCAACTGAGCTAGGCAGAAATTCTACCTTGGAATTCTTCAGAGTATTTAGAACTCTACTAGTGTGTAAAACATGAATTGACACTAATGTCTTGGATTTAAAGAGATATTAGGCTACATTTAATGCATTGAGCATAGGCAGATAGTAAGAAATGGCCAAGATAATGTTTGGTCATCCTACTGTATTTTGAGGAAAAACTAGTTTTTGTTTTTAATGAAGGAAAGACTTCATAAGTTTAAGGGCTTAACTACTGTAGGACTGACCCCACATTGGGTGCTCTTTCTAAGTCCTGGGCTGCTAGTACTTCCAAATGACTTGACTATAGTCATGTGTTCCTATGACTTTCTCCTCAGGCTTCATAATTTGCTGTAATGGTCCTCAGAACTCAGAGAACATTTACTATTACTTGATGATGAGATGCAGGTAAACAGCCATATGAAATGGCACATAAGATGAAGCTAGAAAGGCTCAGTGCAAGTAAGATCTTTGGTCACTGTGGCACATGACTATGCTTACCAGCCAAGAAGCTCTCTAAACACATCGTTGATGTTTTTTATGGATGCTTCATGATATAATTATCATTGATTAAATCATTGGTTATTGAAACCAGTATCTAGCCCCTCTTCTAAGAATGTTGAAAGTTTCAACCCTGTGTTAACAGGATTCCTTTGGTGAACAACCTCCAACTCCAAGCCACCTCATTAACAATGAAATCAAGTGTAGTTCAAAGAGGACTGTGAGATCACACACACATCTGACTGGGAAGGAAAAGGAGTTGCCTTTCTTGAATATCAACAAAGAAGCATGTCTCTGTCGCTCAGGGGGTTCTAAAGGCTTTGGAAGCTATGCATGCTAAGAACTGAGGGCACACACCCAGTAAGCACTTCTTGCTTACTCTTGTAGTACAGATACTGATATGTATTAATAACACATACCAACAACATGGCAGCAAGCTAAGTACTTTAGAAGCTGCATAGAAAACACCTCTAAAATTCCTGGGCCCAAGTGGTTCTTCTGCCTCTGCTCCAAAGTAGCTGCCCTGGAAAGAATGTTTCATTTCTATTTTTTAATTTTCAACAACAATAGCAAAATGCATACAGTTGATTGTGTAGTTTGATTAAAGTACAGATATTTCTAATATTTCTCAGCTTATAATGTCTGTTAGGTTCTGTTTCAGCACACACACATACTTTAGAACTACTTTTTTTGTGAGCCATTAAAGATGTGTTGAACATTTATTCTCAGTAATAAATGTCTTTAACAAAAACAATGTTCTTTGAAAAAACTGTTAGCTACCAGTAAAGTAGTGTGTTGACTGCAGTTTTTCCATTCTGTCACTAGCTCTGTGCTTTGACTGGACTTTTAAAAGAGAAATTGAAATAAGGTTGAAATTTATTGACTTTATTTATAGGTAAGGAATAAACAAATGAGAGGAGTCCATAGAACATTGAGGTACATTGTTATTACAGTTAATGTTACAAAAATAAGAAGACAAACTGGTTATAGTGTTCCCAAGAAGAATTGGGTGGGACCCTTGAAAATCTGTTTCTCATAAATTCCCTTTTGTCTCTTGGATGGCTTTAAAGATGTGACCCTTTTAAATAAATGGTTGTCAATTATATGCTCACATAATATGTATTTTTGACAAATTTTGTATTTTCAGAAGATAAGGGACATTTTAATGGTTAGTGATAAGTTGCTTTTTCAAAGAAATCTGAACTATGGAGAAAGCATTTTGATAATGTTTGGAAATGTATCTATCATTTATCTGTGTCATCTACAAATACTGTATCTTTTATTGGCAGCAAATCTGCTGAAAGACAATATTAAAAAGTTAAAAGACTGTAATTGACCTGGTTTACAGGTCTGTATTCAGGCAACAGTTGATTCCATAAAACACAAGGAGTGTGCTGGTCCTGCAGACAGAGAAGGGCTGAGAAAGCAGAACAGAGCAAAAGGCAGTTTGAAGGTTTAAAAGTTACTTTCTTGTGGATGTTGCTAAAGCAGTTGTGTGGGTCAGAATTGGCCTGCTTAAGGACTTGGTTATTACTATCTGTCTCTGTTTCTCCTCCTCCTGAGTTCTCAGGCCAGATGGCTAACTTAGTTTGGGTATGGTGGGCAAGGACCTTCAGCATGAGCAAATCCATTTTGTTTTGGTCTGTTGGAACCTAGTAGAGGAGCTCAGGCCAAAACATTGACTGCCAAGTTCTGTTTTTATCAAACTGAGTAAAGTTTTCCTGTGTTCTCTAGAGAAACATAACCAAAAGGACACAGACATATATATGTTTATAAACAAAGCGGTTTTGTTTTGCTTTGCTTTTTATTTGCTTTATTTCTACTACTGACAGAACTTGGACTACATGGGCAATTAAGAATTGGGAACACAAGACCCATGATGGTGAGAGTAGAATAGTTTCACAGTGGATCAGCAAAGTGCAACTGAAAGGAAGAGTGGAAACTCCTTTCCTAGGCTCATAGAAAGTGACAGAAGTCAAGATGTGAGGCAGAACTCACCAATGTGCAGGGGATGAGGGAGCGCCTGTGTAAGAGTGCCAGGTAGCTCCTCAGCACAGCCCCATGAATATGTCCTCCTCACCTATCTGCTTATTAAGTGTGGCCCATTGGAAGTTAGGAGCAAACGGTGAGGTTGTCTGTTATTTCCTGTAGCCTAATGGCTTTATCCTCACAAAGGACAATCTCCTTCTCCTTTGGCTGCTCCGTGTCTTTGGTTTCCTGAGCCTGTCTTCACAGTTGTTTCCTCTGCTTCCTCCTTCCAGTTCTAGACACAGGGTATGTGTGTCATTGCTAGAGATTTGTTGTTTCACTTTACAAACCCATTGCTAGCCCTATGTGAATGGTGTAGTAGCGTGTGATAAGTACACACTAGAGAAATTTCCATTAAATAATTGTCTTATGTGGTTGTGGAGACTTGGCAATACAAAAATCTGCAAAGGATACTTAGTTCATGAAGAGTTACAGTTGCAGACCAACTCTATCTAGTATTTTGTTCTCATTTAGGAAATGGTGGGTAGAGCCAGGGGTTTCCTCTTATACTTTATACTTAATTACTTCTCTGTACAAATAATAGAAACTGGTTAAAATATTTGTGGATACCATTTCAAGCTTGTTCAACCCATTCTTGCTTTCCTTTTCTAGGATCAGTTCGATAGCTTAGATAAGCATACACAATGGGGAATTGACTTCTTGGAAAGATACGCTAAGTTTGTTAAAGAGAGGATTGAAATTGAACAGAACTATGCAAAACAATTGAGGTAAGTTGATCTATTTTTTCACTTTTTAAAAGGAAGTTACATGTTTAAGCAGCTTAATATTGTACAGAATAAACCTTGTGTTTTTATCTGACTTGGTTTGAGTTAGAGAACTAGTGGTTAATTTAGTTAAATCATTGCCTTGTACCTTGGGAATTATTGACTAATTAGATTGTAAGTCACTTTGATTGCAGAAAAAAGACATTTAAAATCCTTAAATCTCAGAGCAAAGGGGGAGACCTTGTCTAAGCAGCTAGAGCCTGCTGTCTTCTTTAGTCTCTTTCCACCTTCTAGCCTCTGAATAAAATGGTTCGGTGACTAAACAAACAAGATCTGGAGCATGCAGTGCTTTACACTTTCACTCTTCCCTGGTATTTATTTTTTAGAATTCTTTCTAATGCGCTGAACTTGAGAATTTCTAAGTCTTGGGAGTGGAGTTTGTGCAGTGCTGAGCTGAGCTTCTATGTTAAAATATTTATTGTCAAAAATATTTAAAGGGAAGTTTTTAAATCTTAACATTTGGTAGAATTACTCTTAAGATTTTGTTCAAATAACACAATTATCATTGTTTATCACAGTTTTACAAGTAGTCTTGCTGGAACTTGATAAAAGTAATGCTTAAAGTTTGAAGACCAGCCCATAAGAATTTTAGCTGGGCATTAGAGGACAAAATTCCTCTAAATAGTCACACATGATTAAAAAATCTGGGCATAAACTGCTCCTCATTGTAGTTCTTTTTTCCTTGTTTCTTTTGTGTTTAAATGCCATTCAGCACCCTCCTTTCTACTCCTTCACCTAGATTTTTCATTTCACACTCTGCATCTTAGACAGGCACTCTTCTCCGTTACATGGTTAAGAGAGGAGAGACTAAGGGAGAGAAAGGGGGATGAAAGCAGAGGGAGACAGGAGGGAAGAGTACAAGTCTCTACTACCTTTTGTTTGTTTTGATGTTTTTCCAGACAGAATCTCACTTTGTAGCTCTGGCTGTCCTTAAACTGACAGAGATCTGCTTTCCTCTGCCTCTACCTTGCAAGTGCTGGGATTAAAGGTGTGTACCACCACACTTCCACCTTCATTTTTCTAGTTATTCTAATAAGATATCCTTTTGTCATTTTGACTAGGGTTGTGTTATATGCTTGTTTTTTGAAATATGTTGAAATGATGATACTGAATTGACTTACAGGGAATGGTAGAAGAAAGATAGCTTAAGATAATAGATCCAGAAAGAAGAAATATTTGGGATAATCAGGTATATCCTGTAGTTAACTCACTAGGTATGGAATGACAAAGGTCAGGTATATCCTGTAGTTAACTCACTAGGTATGGGATGACAAAGGTCTGGTATAATGAGTGAATGATTTGTAAAACTCTTATTTTTTTTAACTATTATGATATTGTTGATAACATTGACATTGCAACAATTTCCTGTTTTTCTTAAGGCTCTTTTCATATAAGAATACAAATAGGGAGCCTATCAGTATTTTACTAATAACAGTGATGATACCTTAGATATTCAAAATTATGGTCTGGGATTCTTAAACCTCCGAGAGATTAACATTCGAAGTTTACTTGTGAACAAATTAAAATTGCCATCTAATTATTAAAAAGTACATTTTATTACATTTATGGGTGTTTTGCCTACATTTATATCTGCACCATGTGTGTGCCTGGTGCCCAGGGAGGCAGAAGAGGGCATTGGCTCTCCTGGAGCTGAGATTATATGGTTGTCAGTGCCATGTTGGTGCTGGGAGCTAAACCTGGCTTTCTGAAAAGCAGCCGGTGCTCTTAGCCCCTGAGTGGACTCTCCAACTCTCTCATCTAATTTGAATTTGTTCTCAATTTTAACAAATAAAAATTTATAATTTCAGGTTTCCAGTACAAGTTAAGTGAAGACATAAATAAAATGACAAATGATAAAAGGTTACAAACACAAACCAGACAAAATATAGGAACAAACAGAACTTACTACTGAGGCCCCCAAGAAAATATACCACTGTGTTACAATAGAAGAACAAAATGAAAATGGATTGGAATGTGTCTAGGTCCTCAGGAAAAATGTTAGTCACCCTTTTCCCCCCCAAGAAGATGTCTTCTAATTCAGCATTTTAGTTTCTTAACTATTTTGTAGAAAACACATAAACATGAATGCACAAAATTATTCATTGCAGAAAAAAAAATAGGATTTCCTTCTAGAAATACCTTCCAACATATGAATGGTGAAAAATACTGTTGTATATAACCAGTTTAAACAACTAGCTTATTTAAACTTAGAAGACTGTTCATATTCAGTCCGTCAGTACAAAAAGCAGGTTGCAGAACTCAATAGTAGATCTTACTGCTTGTTTGTATGTATAATTAGGTAAAAATTTGTGAAATTTGTATTTTGAAGAACTCTAAGATTCCAGGTGTTCCTAGTTGTTGCTCTTGTGGACAAGGGAAGGGGGGAGAGGTGTTTTTACTTTATGCATCTTTGTGTTATTAAGTTATTTTCAGTGACTTTGTACTAGATTGATAATTTAAAATTCTAAGCAAAGAGATGATATACTTGGAAAGAGTGCTATTATAAATTGCCAAACAAAATAATTTATAAGGTAATACTTAATCAGTCTACAATATCTAATTATGGAGGATAACCCCCAGATCTCAGAGAGTTATAGTGGATTCAGTTTTGCTAGAGTAACAGGACTGACTTCCTAATCAACATTCAAGCTTGTCTTGTGCTCTTCTGAGACTGGTGATAAACTGTGGATTCACTTACTTGCAAGGGAGGGGTGGATATTAGTACTTTATTGAAGGAAGGGTGCCTGGAGCTCAGAATTACTTATTAAAGAAATCTAATTTTATAGGGAGAAATGGGACTTGTTATGACCACTCTGTGTGAGGATTTGCCTCTGTAAAGGAGTGTCACACCGGCCGGTCGTTGGTGGTGCAGGCCTTTAATCCCAGCACTTGGGAGGCAGAGGCAGGGGGATCTGTGTGAGTTCGAGGCCAGTCTGGTCTCCAGAGTGAGTGCCAGGACAGCCTCCAAACCTACACAGAGAAACCCTGTCTCAAAAAGCAAAAAACAAAAAAACAAACAAACAAAAAAAAGGAGTGTCACACACTTAAGGAATTTGTCACATTTCTATCCTAAGGGTGGCACTCAGTAGTAGGGTTATTTCATTAGATAATGTTGAAGGGCTTGGGTAAAGAAGGTTTGGCAGGGGAGGCATTTTAATTTGAAGCAGGCTACTCCTTCCTCCTTTCTGCATGGAGATTTGTTGCTTTGGATGAATGACTGGTAAATGATTGAATTGTCAGGTGCTGTTTATACTGTGTTTTTTGTTCAAAAGGGAAGAGGCTTGTCTTGTTTATTTCCTCCTCTTTTAGCTACCTACTCCTGGTTTTGTTACAGAGGTAGATTTCATGTTTAGGAGACTGCTGCTCATTGAGGTTCTCTCTGTTCCTTTGTAATAACTGTATTCAGGTTGTTAAATATCCCCTTTCTTTTCCCTTGTGGGGGTTGGGAGCAGAGTGTTGATACTTAGCCACTTTGACCTCCAACTCACCATCCTTCCTATCTGAGCCTGGGTTTCAGTCTTGTATCATCATGCCTGCTCCAGTTTAAATACATTGCAAGACAAGCATTTTGATACCAAGGCATCCTGTGCCCACCTCCTGTTATTCCTTTTTTTTTTAATGTTTTAAAATTTTAATTAGAAAGAACATTATTTTACATGTCAATCCCAAGTCCTCCCTTTCCCTCCCTTCCTCACTCTACCCCCCCCAACCCAACTAACACCCTACCTATCCCATACCCTTTCTGCTCCCCAGGAGGGTGAGGCCCTCCGTAGGGGGTCTTCAAAGTGTCATATTCTTTGGGATAGGGCCTAGGCCAACCCCCTTGTGTCTAAGCTCAGGGAGTATTTCTCTATGTGGAATGGGCTCCCAAAGTCCATTCCTATGCTGGGGATAAGTACTAATCCACTACAAAGGGTCCCATAGATTTCCGAGGTCTCCTCACTGACACCCACATTCAGGGGGTCTGGATCAGTCCCATACTGGTTTCCCAGCTATCAGTCTGGATTTTTAAATTCTATGTTGTTGTTGTTGTTGTTATTATTTTGCAACAGGCTGTCCTGGAATTCACTGTGTAGACCATTCTGCCTCCAACTCAAGAGATTTGCTCACCTCTGGTTCTGAGTGTGTGGGGGGGTGGGGTGCAGGGATCAAATGAAAAACTTTATGCTTGCTTTGTAGACATTTTGATACTAAGTTGATCTCCAATTCAATTTTTACTTTAATAGACTTGTATATGTAAATGGCAGGGATTAATTAAAATTTCTCAGTAAAAAAGAGAAGCTGTATATGCACAATAATTGCAGTATTATATCACAGACGTGTGGCTGTGTAAAATTATATCCTCTAACCTCCACACTAGAACACCCGAATGTGATAGTGTGGGATACTGGGAGCAAGCTATACTGGAAGGCAAGAATCCTATAAGCTAGTTTTCTCTTAGAACAGAAATCTCTTTGACTTACTTTTTAATTGGAGATTTTGTATTATGTGCATTTGTATTCTCATGCCAAGCTGGATAATTTAGCTGGGTAAGTATACATTGAACGAATGTATGAATAAATATTATTTCCAACTAACTTAGATTCTTATGACCTTTGATGATTCACTGCTCTCTACCTATACGGGAGTTTGGTGTCATGTACATCACTGTTTTAAGACACAGCCTGTGTCTAGGGTAAGCTTACACACTCCATTCCTTTATCAGAATCTGCCATTAACATGTTGCTCCATTTAAACTGAGAAGAACCCAGGGAGCCCATTTTCATACTGACTTTCTGAAAGTAAAAATTAATTTTATTATTATTATTATTTGGGGGGGCCTGCAGTTCTTTAACTTGTGACTGCTTTTTTTGCCCTGTAGGCTTTCCCCCTTCCTTTTTTGAGATGTTCTTGCTGTGTGGCTCAGGGGGATTACCAGTATGTGTCACCGTGCCCAGCTGTAT